GTTGAAACGCACTGTATTCGGTGCACAGGCTACCGCCGATAGGAATGGCCATTGCTCACTTGATTACGAGCTCGCAGAGGGGACGGCAGTGCGTCTGCTGCGTGCCAATATCGTACGCCTGACGGTCGACGAGGGTGTCCTGCGCTGCTACTACTACACGGACAATGGTTTGGAGTATTGTAAATATGAGCCAAACTTCTTTGAGCTGGAACCGTTCCATGGTACTGTTATTGAGACGCTAATTCATGCCTATCCCGAGTATACAAAGATCAAAGATCTACCCCCGATGGGAAACGATGAAGACCGCTTGGAGTTTGTCGAAGCCCTCTGGGAGCGCGGAATCCTTATGGTTGAGAAGCCCTTCAAAAAACTATAAGCTCGGGCATTCTTCCCCCCTCAAAATAAACGAACCCAAAGCGAGAGTCGAGTCCTAGTAAACTAAGATATTCCCTGTTCTGTTCACCATTTGTAATTTGTGTTCTCCCACGCCTTAGCCCGCAGTGTCTTTAATGTTATGTGTCGAGTCCCAGGGCAGCGCCAACAGCATGAAAATTAACAAGAACATGAATTAAAAGAACAAATAAATAATCCAAGGGATGCAACATTTGCGTGTGTTTGTGTGGTGTAACATTTATTTATTCTACATGTTCAGGCGCTGCGGATTCTCTTGCGCTCGCGGTATAGGCTATCCTGTTGAACTGCGGAGATAAGTCGGATGAGAAAAGATTTCCATTTCAGCTGTCCATATATATATGTATACTCACTGTACGGATCGAAGCGTATCACCTCGATCTTCTCGGCCAGGCGTTCGCGGAACGCATTGTACTGATGCCCGCTGACCACGCTCTCCAGCACGACCATGATGCGTCTACGGGAACACAACACACCAGACAACAAATTACCCAATTATCCCTGTCTCTCAGGTAAACATACTTACTTGCTCTTCACCTTCTTGAATAGGACATTGGTGAGGCGCATTTTGAGTCAATAATTCGATTTTATATAGAAAAACGAGGGGGAACGTTGTGAGTTGCTGCGGACACCGCAACTCTACAGTTATACCCGATACTAAGTCAGTATGGCTCTCCTCCGGCAGACGCCGCTAATATTAAACGACACGACAAAGAGTGCGTGCGAGAGAGACAGAAAATCAGTCTGAGCGTGACGTCGGGCGCTGCTTAGCCAGTGCAAATTGATTTGTTCCTTTTGGCTATAAAAATAATCGGATCTGATCCAGATTCAGCAATCTGATAGATATGGCCGTTATCTATGATTCTGCGTTTTTAGTTTTCTCGAATCTGCAATATTGTGGGTGCAACAGATTTTCGTCCTTTGTGTGGGCGGAAGGGGGTGGTGTGAAATTTTGAGATATACGTTTTATAGTGAGATCTAACAGAAGTGCGGATACCAAATTTGGTTACTCTAGCATTAATAGTCTCTGAGATTTGTGGATGCCCCAGATTTTCGTCCTTTGCGGGGGCGGAAGGGGGTGTGGCGAAATTTTGACACAAAACGGTCAAAGTCCGATATCACAGGAGCGCGGATACCAAATTTGGTTGCTCTAGCTCTTATGGGTTCTGAGATCCTTGAACTCATATTTTGCAATTGGCAAAACCGACCATGAAACCTGTGTGTTAGAGAGAGACAGAGCGAGAAAGAATGAAATTGTTTTATTGATTCTGGCTATGATAATTATACGATCTGGTTCAGATTTTGCACTCTAGAAGATATAGTCATCTTCTACGATTTTGCGGTTTTAGTTTTCTCGTATCGTCGAAATTGTGGATGCCACAGATTTTCGCCCTTTGTGGGGGCGGAAGTGGGCGGGGCAAAGTTTTGAAATATTCTTGTAGCAGTGACATATCACAGAAGTCTGGATCCGAAACATCGTTGCTCTAGCTCTTATAGTCTTTGAGCACTAGGCGCTGAAGGGGTCGGACAAACGGACGGACGGACAGACAGACATGGCTCAATCGACTCAGCTGTTGATGCTGATCAAGAATATATATACTTTATGGGGTCGGAAACGATTCCTTCTGGACGTTACACACATCCACTTTTACCACAAATCTAATATACCCCAATATTTTTTTTGAGTATCGGGTATAAAAAACGGCTAAAATTGCAACAAAACACCGCAAAAGCTGTGCAAGCAGGGAAACAGCTGATCCAGTGCGACCGACCCTCAGAGAAATACCGAAATATACCGTAAATATACTGACGAATTAAAGTTATATTTTACATATTACTCGTTTTTGATCTTCCGTGGAATATTCTCAGCTATATAGAATATTTAGCAATTCTGTCCCTGCCTGTCCCCCTGTCAGACTGTCCTGACGCTGACGACTGGATTGTGCCAAGTGGTTGTCACACACACGGTCCCTTTTATTTATTCAATTTCTGCACCGCCGCTTATCGCAACTTGCCTTGGCTGTTTTTGCTTGTTGTCCATACCCTTTTTTACAGCCCATTCAAAATTACGACTCATTTTCTCGTTGCAGGAGTGTGAGTGTGACCCTCAGAAATATACCGAAAAATACCGTCTCATTTTCAAAAAAACCCGAAGAAACGAAAAAGTGCCAAAACCAGCCAGAGATTAAAATATTTTGCGGTGAAATTAAGTCTTCTATTTCTGGGGAACAAGCGATTTGATGTAACTGGTATTTGACAATCGACTGATTGTAGATTATAACAGTTTAAAGATGTCCGACAAGAATAAAAAGGTTTCGGCCTTTGCCGCCTATCGCGGCTCCGCAACCTCAAAGAATGATGTACAAAAAGGAACAAAGAATTCCGACAAAAATGGTGCCGCAAAAAATAACAACAACAGGAACTTGGCCTCCAAAAATGGCGGAAAGCAGAAGGGTCCGCCAAAGAAGAACGGTAGCTACAGCGACGGCGACAACGGCAGCAGCAGCAGCAGCGGCGAAGACGAGGAGGACGACAGCACCGACAGCAGTGATGAATATGAATCGTCCGAGAGTGGCGAGGAATACACGCTGAACAGCCACTCGTCTCAATCCTCGCCAGAAACTCCGGCTAATACTCGTGAGTCACTGAAGCGTCGCAACGATGAGGCGGAGGGCAGCAACCCCATCGGCGCCAAGCGTACTTCATCCACTCCAGTCGGCCAGTCGACATCGGCTGCCAGGTCCACACAGCAGCCAAAGGCGCCCTCCTGCCCCCTCCAACGTAGGTCATGTCCGCTGCCCAGCAAGAAGAATACGGTTCCAGTCAAGGTGGAGGTGGCGTCGCCAGACCGCGCGTTGCTGTCCCCACAGTCGATCAAGAAGGAACCCGGGGCCAGCATGTTATGCAGAATTAAAATCGGTTTAGTTAAATCTGTTCAACCCGGAGGTGATGCAGGAGCAGAGGCTGGCGCTGGTCAGGCCGTAAACCGCCTGGAGCCATGCCATAAAGTGCACAAGGAAAACAGCATTGAAGTGGGAAAGCGGACACTGGCTCAGCTCATTGCTCCGATGACGATGGCCACTTTCTTGCGTGACCACTGGGAGAAGAGTCCATTTAGAGTGAAAACAACGACCTCAGGTGGATTCTCCAATCTAATATCGTTCAAGATGATCGACCAAATGCTGATCCAGAACCACGTGGAGTATACCACCAACATCGATGTAACCAGCTATGAGGACGGCGTGCGGAAGACCTTGAACCCTGACGGTCGTGCCTTGCCCCCTAGCGTTTGGGCCCACTATCAACGCGGCTGCAGCATCCGTATCCTGAATCCCTCCAGCTACCTTGTCCAGCTGAGGCAGTTGTGCGTCATGCTGCAGGAGTTTTTCCATTGCCTGGTGGGGGCCAATGTCTACCTAACGCCCCCCGAGAGCCAGGGATTCGCACCGCATTACGATGATATTGAAGCCTTTGTTCTCCAGGTGGAGGGCAAGAAGCGCTGGCGCATCTACGCCCCCACCAAAGAACTGCCCCGTGAATCGTCGGGCAACCTCAGCCAGACCGAATTGGGCGATCCCATAATGGATATAGTACTGAAGCCCGGCGATCTCTTATACTTCCCACGCGGCTGGATCCACCAGGCCATCACAGAGAAGGACTCGCATTCGCTGCACATTACCCTCAGTGCCTACCAGCAGCAATCGTACGCCAATCTGATGGAGAAGCTCATGCCCCTGGTTGTTAAGGAGAGTGTCGAGCAGACCTTGAAGCTGCGCAAGGGGCTTCCGCTGGACATCTTTCAGAACCTTGGCGTGGCCAACGCCGAATGGAAGGGCGCGCATCGCCAAAAGTTGATACAGCATATCCAGAATCTAGCACAGCGTCTGGTGCCCACCGAGGGTCAGATCGATCGGGCCTTGGACCAATTGGCCATAAAATTCCAGCACGAGGCCCTGCCACCCACCATTGCGCCCCAGGAGTTGAAACGCACTGTATTCGGTGCACAGGCTACCGCCGATAGGAATGGCCATTGCTCACTTGATTACGAGCTCGCAGAGGGGACGGCAGTGCGTCTGCTGCGTGCCAATATCGTACGCCTGACGGTCGACGAGGGTGTCCTGCGCTGCTACTACTACACGGACAATGGTTTGGAGTATTGTAAATATGAGCCAAACTTCTTTGAGCTGGAACCGTTCCATGGTACTGTTATTGAGACGCTAATTCATGCCTATCCCGAGTATACAAAGATCAAAGATCTACCCCCGATGGGAAACGATGAAGACCGCTTGGAGTTTGTCGAAGCCCTCTGGGAGCGCGGAATCCTTATGGTTGAGAAGCCCTTCAAAAAACTATAAGCTCGGGCATTCTTCCCCCCTCAAAATAAACGAACCCAAAGCGAGAGTCGAGTCCTAGTAAACTAAGATATTCCCTGTTCTGTTCACCATTTGTAATTTGTGTTCTCCCACGCCTTAGCCCGCAGTGTCTTTAATGTTATGTGTCGAGTCCCAGGGCAGCGCCAACAGCATGAAAATTAACAAGAACATGAATTAAAAGAACAAATAAATAATCCAAGGGATGCAACATTTGCGTGTGTTTGTGTGGTGTAACATTTATTTATTCTACATGTTCAGGCGCTGCGGATTCTCTTGCGCTCGCGGTATAGGCTATCCTGTTGAACTGCGGAGATAAGTCGGATGAGAAAAGATTTCCATTTCAGCTGTCCATATATATATGTATACTCACTGTACGGATCGAAGCGTATCACCTCGATCTTCTCGGCCAGGCGTTCGCGGAACGCATTGTACTGATGCCCGCTGACCACGCTCTCCAGCACGACCATGATGCGTCTACGGGAACACAACACACCAGACAACAAATTACCCAATTATCCCTGTCTCTCAGGTAAACATACTTACTTGCTCTTCACCTTCTTGAATAGGACATTGGTGAGGCGCATTTTGAGTCAATAATTTGATTTTATATAGAAAAAACGGCTAAAATTGCAACAAAACACCGCAAAAGTTGTGCAAGCAGGGAAACAGCTGATCCAGTGTGACCGACCCTCAGAAATATACCGTAAATATACTGACGAATTCAAATTCTATTTTACATATTGCTCGTTTTTGATCTTCCGTGGAATATTCTCAGCTATATAGAATATTTACTCATGCCCACATAATTTTATACGATTGATGAATCAATTTTTACTTAACTGGCTTACTCTTAATACTTGCTTTTATTGGATCTTGTGTAAAAAAAGGTTTTAGCGCAAGAGTTCAAACAAAACAAGGATTTTGCGAAATAGGTCACACAAAAATACGTAAGAGAAAAATTATTCCAATTGCTCAATTTTTTTCTACCGTTGAATAATGCTGCCTAACTAAAACCTTTAGCTTTGCCCGTATAATTTCAGGCCATTAATGAATACATTTTCTACAAGATTGGCTAGTTTTTAGTACTCCCATTTATTGTATGTTGACTGCAGCAAGGTTTAAAAAAAAAGGTCAACCAAAAAAACAGTCGCAATGTTGCTGGTATAGGCATAAAAGTGCCCTATTTCGTTAATTTGATATGAAGATTAAACGTAATTTATAAAGATCTTTTCTCAAATTTATACGTTTTAGACATATTCATTATTTATTAGCATTTTGTATGTATTTACCTCGATCCTCATACCTACTGAGCCTGGGATGACAAACACTTTCTCATATCTATAATATCCTCTTCCCTAGGGTATGAAAATTAGTGTTGCCGGTAATCATTGTTGTCAACCAGTTATGAAGACTAATTCCTGGTTATTCTTTCTTCCGTCGAAAATTCTCAGCTATATAAATCTCTGAGTTCTGCCCACTTAATTTTATCCAATTAATGAATCATTTTTCTACTTGACTAGCTTAATTTAAACTCTTGCTTTTATTGGATTTCTATCTAACATTGAAAATTAAGTTTAATAGATTGATGAAACAAAATAACTTAGCCCACTTAAGCCCCCTCTATTTAAACAGTTGAACGCCGTTAGGTATAAGATCGTGGTAACGACACGCTAACTACACATTTGCTACATAGGAACTACATTTTATGTATTTATCAAAAGCGACACCTGTGCACGTATAGAATATTTATGACCGTTTTTTTTTTAAATTAAATACAAGCAAAATGAAGTGTGTTTAAGTGTTTCAGCTGATCGAATTTAGAAATTTTCAGCCCTCCCCGTCATAGTTCTAGTTTTTATGAAAAAAAACCGCAGATTATGCATACAATTTTTTAGCTAATATGCAAAAAAAAACCCTGGAAGCGGAATATAGTCTACGATTGGATGGGATTCTACGAGTATTTTAGGTTTTTACACAATTGAAACAATTGATAATGCAGATGTTATTGATTTGATATCAACTCGAGATGTCTTCTAAGTACATCGGGAACATCATGTGGCACTCGAAATGGCAATTATCGGAACGCATTTAGTAAATGAGACTGTACAAAACATTCAAAAATGGCCATCATATTGGCCAAGCCTGATTTGATAGGGACTTAAGAAATAATCACTATTATCATAAGTATCATAGATAAATGAATTGGACTCAAATGCTAGGAGCTTTATACATATACTCATCAACAGACGTAAAGTGGCCATCAATAGGGACCTATATCTGTCAGACGCCAAGGAATGGTTCAATAAACAATCCTATTCCACTAAACCCACTAAATACTTGCAAGGGTCGAATGGAAAGGACATTTAGAGATGATAAATAACAATATCTTGTATATTGATGGATTATTTCTTACTGAAAGGAGATAAGTTTTGTCATATAGTTCCGCTAGGTGTTCGATGATCTATTTTGTTCAATCCATAAAGAGACGCAACATCAGGGCGGATAACTTGTACCTATTATCGTCTTTCTGTAGATGGGCGTTCCCAAATCTTAACTAGCTTCTATATTTCAGATATAATCTGTCAGATCTGTTTGTGGAGATCAGCCAGGACTGACCAGCATTTGGTTTTCCATGGGAATTGTAACTGTGGGAACATTTTCCCCCCTACTTCGAGTTGATAATATTTTCTAAGAGCAGAATAAGCTTAAAGATTGCTCCATTCAAAGAGTCCTACCTTCGAACCAGTTGGAAACGTTCTGGTCTGGTCCACTCCGGTCCGGTCCGGACCGACCCTGTTCTATTCTTATTTTTGTGACCGCCCAGAGCACAGCACCCAAATGTCCAAGATGTCCAAAGGACTATGATCATTGGTGGCTATTGTGGGGACAACAAAGGAATCAAATAACAATAAGCTTTTTCTAGTTTCGCAGCTTTTTGGGCAGCGACACAGCTGTCCGATCGAGGGCAGGACCAGATCGGACTGGAACTGGGACTGGGACTAGACCTGGACACGGGCCAGACTGGGCGGTCAGTCGACGTGGACGTGGACTGGACTGGTCAGCGTGAGAAGTGGCGGACGCACAGCATCCCAAGACGGCCGCTGCGATCCGCACAATGGATATGGAAATATGGTTTGTATAGACGGATCAGGCTACAATTTTAGGGGCTTTTGTTATTCAAAATTAGCCAAAATCGAAAGGGAGAACTGGACTGGACCAGGAAGATGATGCCCTGCATCTGCTGTGGCTCTCGAATGGCGCCCAAAACTTGAAGAAACATGTCATCCCAACGTTCTAGCGTCTGCTGGATATAGACAGATGTCCCTGTCCTCCATTGCTCTCAGTGTTATGTAATTTTCAACATTTTTTAAGATTCAAATTTGTTGGGTTTTATACAAAAATCAAAGTAAAATGCCAAATATGTAGGTCCCAACGAAAAGACTACAAACTTAAAGGCATCCAGAAACATCCAGGACACACTGCACACTCGTGTGTGCGTGAGTGCCTGTTCATTGCCTGACAAGAGTCAATGATCGCACGGCTGCAGAGGTGACTTTTGAGAAATGGGAAGTGCCCCAAAAATCGTAATCAAGCGCAAAGGATCAGCCCCAGAACAGAACAGAACTGAACAGGACGGGACAGTAAGAGTCGGCTTTGGATGTTTTGGGCAGGGGTATGGGTATAGTATGGTAGTGCCTATATGTATATAGGATGGTGTGGTCTGTTGGCTATAATCCGGCTGACGCTGGATCAGAGCACGAATAGCAGGGACATGGGACATTGGCCAGGGTGTATGAGCACGAGGATTCGCTCGTTCATTCGGAACCTTTTCGGCAATTACCGAAAAATAAAGAAGCGAATTAATGCAGAGCCCGGCACAAGGGCAGCCACGATCAGGGATGTAGAACTGTACATGTGTCTGTCTCTGTGTCTGTGTGTGTCTGAAAACACACACAAAGAAAAGAAAAACAAAAACACAAACGGAAAAAAAATAAGAGTTTTTTGCACCTGTCCCACAAGGAGAGCAAGGAGCAGGACAGGGAGAGAGCCAGTAGCCAGACGACAGCCGGACAGCAGGAGAAGAGCCAACAAAATTAAGGATAAGCAGTGCAGTGAAGGAGGTTCGGTGATCGAGGATCGAGGATCGAGGATCGTGGATCGTGGATCGGGGATCGAGGATCGTGGATCATGGCTCGTGGATCGCGAACGGCGCGTGCCACTCAAAATTCCAGCTTAATTTTTGCTGCTGCATTTGTTTTTCGTTTTTTTTGTTTTTTTTTGGTGGTGGTGTTGTGGCTGTTTGTTCAGCGGTTTACCCTCGAGCAACTGGCACTCCTATGTGGGTGCATATCCGCGTTCCGATCCTTGATCCTTGATCCGATCCGATCCCCTCCGCTCCGCTCCAAGCCGATCCTAGCGCTGGCCGTAAAAGTTTTGCGTGCTGCTTTCTCATTGTTATGCATTTTAAATATGCATTTTTTTTATGGCCGCCAGACATGCGACGAGCCTGCCTCAGCTGCATGCCCCATGCCCCATACCCCACCCAGGCGATAGCTGCTTCGTTGGTGTTCTGCCAGTGGCAGTGCCAGGGACATTTTGTTCACCTTTTGTTTTGTGGCTAAATGCCCGTTAATTCGCGGCGTTAATGAGCACGACGAGGCCGGACCCGGCCAAAGGATACCCCAAAGCATGGTCCTGGGTGGCCTGCAGATGGTCAGGGACTATCCCGGTGCTTCTCCCTTGATCTCGCGCCAATAACTGCCCTGGTCCCGGTCCCTCCGTCTCCTTCGGCGCAAGTCGTTTCAATTTTCAGTTGCTGATTGTTTTTATAATAAATAATAAACTTTTTATTGAGGGGATCATACACGTAACAAGGCTGCAACTGCAATCTGCCGATGACACCCCAAAGCGCTGATGACTGACCGGTTTGCGGTGCCTGAGGTGCCTGAGGTGCCGATTCGGCGACAGCACTGGACTTTCAATCAAGGTGTAATACTGCCAGGTGAGAGATACTCAAAATGTTGGGCTGGCAATCCGTGCATCAGTGGATCCGGATATGTTTGATCTTTTCCCTATACATCCTTCCCAACATGCTTTCAATCTTCACCTTTCCCTGTCTCGCACTTTAGTCTTCCCATCGTTCCCAATCAAGAATGTCTCATTCCATTGTTCCTCTGTCCATTCGACCGCTTTTCGAGGGCCGTTACTGTTCCCCTTTCTACTGAAATCCATTCATACCGTTTCCGGTATTCCATCTATAGGTACCCCCCATGTATCAGACCTGTATCAATGACTCCTCTTCCAATAAGTTGCCTTCCTATTCCAATTCTTGGCAGCGCCTTTCCTTCCAGAATTGCTCTACTAGTTTCTTAATTAGTGGATTCCTCATCCATCGATTCCCTAACACTCTTTTAACATAGTTTATACTGGAAATCTTTCAATGGTCTCTATGGCCCTGTTCAACAGCAGTTCCCGTGCTATCCTTTATCAATTTCACTTGACGTTCAATCGTTCCTCTAATCAATTGCCCTTTGAATCGAATCTTTTTGTATCGTTTCACTGTGAATCGATTTTCCCATAAATAACCAGGGTACCAGGGTTTCTGTCTACTTGTTTCTGCATTTGTA